GGAGATGGTGGAGCGGAGGGGCCCGGGGAGGCCCCGCACCGACGGGGTAAGCAGGCACCCTCCCCGCACTCACGCGGCGCGCCAGCCGGGCCGGGGCCGCGAGCACGTGGGCGCCCCCCTCCCAGCCCCCGCCGCGCCGCCCTGGGGCGCCCGGCTGGGGCAGCTTCCTTTTCTGCTGCCTGGCTGGGAGTGGCGTGCACACTCGGCTCCGCCATGACTCTGGCGGTATTTGACCTCGGAAAAGTTTGATGGTGTCTTTATGGCATTTCCACACCCCAAGACCCAGCTTCCCCAGAGGTGGCTGCCTTCCCAGGGTGTGCGGGGCCTGCCCGGATCCCTCAGAGAGGTCATGGGTCTCACTGACTTGATGTTTAACGGTTTACCAAGGCAGTGAGGCCCTAGCATTGTTTCTGGGGAAGCCCTCCTCCTGTCTGTGCGTACTCAGAGGAGAGGCCCCATACCCAGAGACACCATCAGTGACCTGTGCCGCCCCACCGTCCTGCCCACTCTCTTACTAATCCCAAGGTGTGGTTTGCAGTGCAGTAACCGCCCTAAAAGCCCTGGCTGTAGCCTCTGCTTCCATTAATTTCCTCCAGTCATTCTGAGGGAAGTCCTTCCACCGCTGGCTGCAGTGATTTGAGAGGGGCTAGGTTTGGGGCTCCCAGAGGGATGAGCCCTCCTGGCTGCCCTGGGGACCAAGTGGTTAATCAGGTTCCTTCAGACCTCTTTCTTTCTATGCTAGAGTCACTAAGGCTTCTGACAGGGGAGTTAACTTAGAAACATGGCCCAGCTCTTCAAATTCTGGGGTCATTCTGACCTCCCTGCTACTGGCAAGTCGTCTCCTTCCTATACAGACCTTTGTGTGCAGCTGGTTGTCCAGCTGGCCACAGGTCCCCTTAGTGACTGTAATCAGAGACCAATGTGTTCAAGAATGTTTGACTTAGACCTGAGAGTCTAAACTTGCCAGGGCTTTCCTGAGAGAGCCAGGGCAGGCATTCCCCAGTAGCCCACATTTTGAGAGATGATATTGTTTGTTTTTTGTCGTTTGTATTCTCACTTCCTCTTCTCCCCTTAAGGGGAGATGCTATAAGATCTTCTTCTTCAAGCCTCTTTCAGAATATGCATTTGTCTTTTTAGGAGAACGTATTTACTGGGCAATCAAAGATCTATTCCTACATGAGTCCGAACAAATGCTCTGGAGTGCGTTCCCCGCTTCAGGAAGAGAACTCAGTTGCACATCACGATGTCAAATGCCAGGGGAAACCATTAGCTGGAATCTACAGGCGACGAGAAGGTAAGCTTCTGAAATGCCCTTGTTCTAATCACAGTTGGTGGCTGCAAAAACCTCATCTTTATAACAATGCGTATATATTATATACTTACCCAGCTTTTTCAATTCCAAGTTTGAATGGTTTGAACCATGTTCTGTCTTGCTGCTAAAGAGTGGCCTGTTCCAGGGTATGTGCCTTGTTGGTCTGACAGGTTCTTCCAGCTTTCACGAGAATTAGCATGTCTCTCAAACTTGACTTTGTAACCAAGTTGCACAAATAATACACCTGACCCACAATTAGGCTCGCAAGTGCTAAAAGTGCAGAAATAATTAGTCTAGGTTGTACAGACCAGGCGATTGCAGGGAACTGACTTCCTTCCTTTTTATAAGCTAGCCTTGACCCCATTTTTGAGTTTCTTTCCACTCAAACGTTCTGTACTATCTGGGCACAGTGGCTCATGCCTGTGATCCTGGGACTGTGGGAAGCCGAGGCTGGTGAATCACCTGAACTCATAAGTTTAAGAGCACCCTAAGTAGGAATTAAACCATTTCTGTACTAAAACTAGAAAAATTAGCTGGGTGTTGTGGCGGGGCCTGTAGTCCAGCTACTTGGGAGACTAAGGCAAGAGGATCGTTTGAGCCCAGGAGTTTGAGGTTGCTGTGGGCTATGATGCCACAGCATACTACCCAGGGTGTTAGAGTGAGACTCTGTCTCCAAAAAAACAAAAACTACATTTGGTAGTATTCTCTGAAGAAGCATTCTGTGATGAGATTTGAAGTTAAATCAAACATAGTGAAAACTCTGCATGGCCCCACAAAACAAAATGAAATGTCTTAGCAATCTTTGTAATCCAAATATTCCCTTTCAAAGCTGCAGTATGGTGTGTGAACTTTCCCCAATTCACTGTGTTCCCTTCTAATTAAAACGTATTGGAAAGAACCAGAGCCTCTGGCTGCCAGCAGCTCCATACAAGGAAGCCTTGTGTTCTCTAACAGTGTCATAAGTGATGATTTGACAGGACGTCTGGGGCCAGATTTGAGAACCCCTAAACTGGGGGCAGGAGCCCACCCATGGTTTGATTTTTCCCTGGTATACTGAGTGATATTATTTCATTTAGTCTTCAGGTGACTTGGGTTCTAATTCTAATTTTGCCACTAGAAAGGAGGGTTGAGTAAAATGCTCCTCTTTTTTGAGATTCAGTTCTTTCATCAGTAAATTGGGAGACTGAGGAGTCTGACCTCACACACAGGGTTATTCTGAAGGGTATGAATGCCAGAGGGCTCTATGTCATGCTGTGTGTCATCTCTTTCCTGCTAGACCATGAGTTGCACATTCTTGCTCATTCCTGCAGTTGTGGCACTTGGGTTAGCCCTGGCACATAAGGATGAGGAAAGAGAAATGGTAGCTGGCCAATTTTACAGCCTTTTGGAATAAGGCAGAATATATATTTTCCCAAATCGTGATGTACACAAACTGGCTTATTTGACTGATGGTCTTACTAAGTGGCCATGATTAGAATCAGATAGATGTACTTTGGAGACCCCAAAGGCTACGCTCTTGTCTGTAATTCTGACTGATAGGACAGATGATGTCATGGATACCACACACTCCTAGGGTAGTACCTAATATCCTGGCTTTTTTTTTTTTTTTTTTTTT